TTTATCTATTTATTTATTTAATTAATTTTATTTTTCCATGCATGGGTGCTCGTTTCTTGATGTGATTGATAGCAGATGAGGCCAAAAAATAAGGGCAAGCGAATTCAATAAAGGATTTAAAACAAAGCTCATGCCTTCCTTGAATTCAGCAGGGCTAAGTGGGTCAGCTGGTGATTTCTGAAGAACCGAATTGATCCCAGCCATAGTCTTTGTTCTAAGACTCTCTCTGAAATGAGTACGCAAAATGTTTCAGTCTTTTCATTAGCATCCTCTAAGGCAATTATTTCTGTAGTTTTATATTTTGTTGCAAACAACAAAAGATTCACATGTATTATGCCCAAAGGCTGAAAGCAAGCGCTAAGTGCTTTATTTTAAACGTGCTTCACGGACTTTCTAGTTTTAGTTCCAGGACCTGGGCTAATGAATTAATACAATATAACCTAAAGCAGCCAAGATTTGCTGTCTGACAAAGGAGGCTAAACTCGCAGCTTGCTCTTCTCATATGCCAGAAATAAAGCACGTAATGTTAAGTTGTGAATTTTTCCATCATTTGGTGGTAACTGACACTTAGATAAAAATGAGTTCTCTCCTGGAGAAGGTCACTATGTTTTTTTAAATCATTGCTCTCCCTTCTCCACTTGTACAGTCAAAGACGAAGGGCTCTGGACCACAGAAACCTGATGATTATTAACTGCTGCTACAATTAGTACTCAAACGAGTAGCCTGCAGAAGGGAACGTCCTGCGCTTTGCATTTCCTGCAGAGCTACACGTATCGTGTTTACTGGATTTGGGGAAAAGTTCTCAGTGTGGCATTCTTGCAATGGGTTGGGAAAGAGCTCCTAAGAACTCCTGTGTACTTTGTAGTACAAACGGAAACTAAGCTGCGTATCGCCCTTCACTGCTCCATGCGTGATACGCTGTTCTTCTGTACATTGGAATAAGAATCTAATCACTGAGGTGAATGACTAATATACAAAAGGTGGTAAGAATAATTTTATTGTATTATTAAATAGGATGTCTTCTCTTCAACCATTACAAATTTGTAGATACTACATGAATGACAATACATCATTTATCTTTTTATTGTTGCCCATATGATATATTTACACATGCAGTTAGTACCGATGTCATGCTACATTTTGTTAACAGCATTTTGTTGTTTGCCAGACTCAAAATGTGAGCATTTCATCTTCTGTAGGAAAAGATCTCTGGGTGGGTGGGACGCGTGTACTAATCTGCAGAAGGTTGGAATCGTCAGCGTTTCAGGCCAGGCTCCTGGAGCGTGTTCCCTTTTCTTCCCTAGTACACATCATCAGAGCAATGAATTTCTATCAGGAAAGTGTTGTGGTTGTTTGGGTTTTTTTAATGTAAGAAAGAGGACTATACATTTAGACCCAGCAGCCCGGTGATAAAGGCTAAAAATCATGAAACTGGATGGCATTTACCATTGATACTGCTTAGAAAAGAGAATATTATAAAAATATTTGGAAGCCAAGCATAAGTAGAATTTCAGCAGTGGGTTTTTATTTTTTCTGGCATAGATTATGGCATCACCTGCACAGTTACGAAATGATACGTTGCTTTGTGAAGGAAGAGTTGGTGCTACGAGCAAGTTATTTCTTTTGGACTCTGTAATGCTTGAAAGGCCGTTGAACTATTTTATTCTTAACATAAATAATCTGTACACATCCTGTGCATTAACATTGTGACATCTGACAAAGACTTTACAAATGCAACTTCAATTTAAAATTGTACATTCATTTTCAAGTTGTACATATTTCTTTGTTACAGAGAAAATTGCAATGGGGCACAATAAATATAGTATAACCAAAACTGCAGTCTCCAATTTCATGTGACTCAAGATCAACCAGAGTTAAAAATGACTATTGTTAAGATAATTGTGTCATCCAGGAAGGTAAAAAGGTGCAGAGGACAAACTGCACTGCCAAAAAAAAAAAAAAAAAAAAAAAAAAAAAAAAAAAAAAAAA